TTAAATTTGAACTTTTCAAAATGTTTTATATCGACTAACTCAATTAAAAATTATCATGAACTTGCCCAAGCTTGATTTTGAACGCGGTACTTTGGGTAGTGGTTTTTACCAAACATAAAACTTAGGTCTAAAATTAGATTCTAATCATGATAAATATATTATTTTCTGTAACTATATATATGGAAACGAAAAAATATTCGTTTTTCTCGAGCCAACAAATGTCTGTGTGAGTTCTCTTTAAAATTCAAAATGTATGTGCAGTTAGAGGTGTATGCCCCCGTGGGCCGTAATTATCTATGTGTACCGAATTTCAGAACCTGCAAGAGTGCCATCGACTTGGCTGTGGGTCACTTACACATACACACACTCAAACAATACTTTTTATCAATACAAATGATTAAAACTATTTTCGTTAGTGATGGGTAAAAAATCGCACAATAGATACAATTAAACGTGTACATGTAGGACGGTTATAACACATGTAACCTCATAATTTTCACCCTCGTATGTAATGTATTAAGAATCCTTGTAACCTGCACTCTGCAGTCAGTCTTTAGGAAAACGATTTCGCGAGCACTTGTGTTATTTTTTCACAAGAAGCGCCGTGACATATAATACCCACCAGATATATTACAGCACACACACACACACACACACACACACACACACACACACACACACACACACACACACACACACACACACACACACACATGGGACTAACACAATCACACACAATGCTGTTTAATAAATCTCACAAGCGTCATGCATACCCCCCGCCCCGTTTGACACGAATCTCATTATTGTCGACGACGGCGTCCTCCTGATCTTTTATCCGCCTCCTGCCGTCTGCAGCCGCCCGTCCCGGTTTCCACCGGTGGTGATCTGAAAAATCCGATCGCTTAAAATGAAAATAATTTCGAAAATTTTTTCCCCGCCATAACGATGATATATTTTATAACACGTAATAATAATAATTTTATAATATACGTTATGCACACGAATGTAATTGATTTATATTTTTTGAAGCCGATGGTGGTGCTGGCGATAAACTACGTAAACTGGTATGATTTGTTGTGCGTGTGCAGTGCACAAGTACGAGACAACGAGACGGCGTATACCCGTGTAGGCATACACACAATATATTATTATTATTACTATTATTATCGTCGTCATTATTATATTATGGGCACGATATACAATATACATATTATTATATAGGCAGACGACTAGCGACGTATTAAAAATGTTTCGGTAATAATAATATGTATTATAATATTGTGTGACTATATCATAATAATAATAATAATAATAATAATATATACACGTATATTTAATATTATGTACTATAGGTATACGGCGCGCGGCTCGTTTGACGGATATATTATTATTATTACTAAATATGTATACATATATTATGTATAATCAAGTAGACGTCGCCGATAGTTTTCGTGTTCGACATCGTAATACGTCGGGTAGATATCATGTCTGTAATTTCGTTAACGGATTTCGACTTAGTATTTACCGTGTCTGCGTACAATACAATGCCCGTCGCCATATTATACATTGTAGGACTTAACGTTCCAAAAACCAAAAACCAAAAAACAAAGATAAAAAAAAAAAAACGTTCTTCCATTCCTCCGGTTTCACAATAGGTCAATACGCTTTAATGTCAACACGGGACAAGTGGTTATATCACTCGCGCGCGGTAGACAAACACACAGCGGCGGCAGATAGCATCGCGTTCCGTACTCGAAATATCTGAGGACATTATTTATTACGAAACGAAAACGCACATATTTCGTAGGTAGGTACATATATTATATACCTAGAGCTAGGTAGAAGCCAGCCCGAATGCATGGAAAAAAACCCACCGACAGAAAGACATCGACTTTTAACGAATTTCGAAGACCTTTGAGCGAACTGCTACGAATTTTTGAAAATGCAGGTCCGAAATGTCTTACGCGTATTAAATGTATTAAAACTATAAAATATTTATTGTAGACATGGCTATACTCGTGTTATATACCACCAAAACTTTATGGTCTATAAATCTTGTTTTTTTTTTTAATTGTATTGATTTTTTTTTAATTTAAGTGTAGTATGATGTTAAAGTTTAAAATGAAAAATTAAGTTTAATCAAAATAATTATAAATGTGTATATTTTGTTATTTCCATTTAAGTTGTATCTGATTTATTACTTTAATATACCAAGATACTGTGTGAGGGTCAAAACCAGCACCAAATCCATTTAATTAGGCTATTTTTTTTTTTACTTTACATTGTCATAAGCGTGATACTATTTATTCGACATATTTTTTTATCATTACTGTTAATCAATTTTTTTTTTGAACTGCACGGTTCATTGATTACAAATAAGTATATTTTTGTATATTAATTTAGAATTTAAGTAGAAGAATAATTGCGCAACGAGCCTAAATACATTGCAGCGGAATAGGGGCTAAAAAGTACAATATAATAATAATAATAATAATAATAATAATATGTATATCTGTTGGCGGAACCTACCCCGGAAACGTGGTCTCACACGTATATGAATACTCCTCCTGTTGCACACGGACGTCAAGTCTGCCGAAACGAGTCGCCCGTGGTTCGATGCTTTGCGGGGTAGCTGACGACACTATATGTGCGTTAATGTTAAGCATATAAAGTCGATTGTCGCACCCCGCCGAACGCAATACGTGTACACTTCGTACATACATCGTATACTATTATACTACTACTGTTGTTGTGTAAAGTACCTATCTGATGGCGAAACAAAACCGCCGCGCGGAGACCCGAATTTCCCGTGCCGCGTTCGAGGGGGGGGGGGGGGGGTGACGCGGTTTGAGGGTCGAGTCTCCGTGCATGCTGCAGCAGTCTCCGGGGTTGATTTTCCGACTTGTCGCCGGGCTGTCTGAACGAGGTGGAGAGCAACGACCGATAGTAATACTATTACAGTATGACGATAATGTAAATTTATACCGAAATAATGACGTAATATTTTATGCGTGTGTGTGCCCGTGTGCGTTATCGACGTGACAGCTAAAATATTATATTATTATACAATTGCAAAGTGCAAACCCTTTCTATATATACAGTCATCGGCTGCATCGTGTCTGCATCACCGTCAGATCTCGTCGATGCAGGGCTCCTAGCGGCGACAGTATGACTAATAACTAACGAGTAACAGTTAGATCCTAACGTCAATCAGAGCCTCCAAAAGTTGGTATTGCTTATGACAAAATCATATATATATATATATAAATTATAATTATTAAAGGTTGAGGAATTTTTTTTGTAGCATCTACTTATGGGTGGGTTAAGTTTTAAAAATAATCATATGTCATACTGCCATATACGCGTTTCAAAATACATCGGAACGTCTGACGTCAATTAAATCCCCTTGAATAAAACTTCATGCACGGCCTACTTAATATGTGTATAATAATTAATAATAAAAGGCACAATGCAGCGACCATATATATGTATATGTTTCGTTTGGTCATCGAATATTTAATTTTCCCATTTTACCACAACTTGCATTTTTTTTCGAAACCAAAAATATTGTTAACGTCTTAATGGTGTTCTATTATTTTGAAGGCCAAGTATAAAACATCTATGGAATTTATTATTTTAGTTATTCTAAATCGTGGTTGGTAGTAATTTATGAAGCAAGGAGTCAAGCCCCCACATAACATGTTGGTTACACTTACTAAATGTTTTTGAAAACCCCATAAAATATTATTTTATACAAAATAAGTATACCTATCAATTTCAAACATTACAAATTCATTTCTGCTGGACCCTAAATAGTCGAGCCCCGTGTACTCTAGGTTCAACAGCCCCCCTCCAAATTATAGTGTGCCTGCAGTGAAGGAAGCGATGAAGTTTCAGTTTAATATTTGGTAGCAGACTACTTAAAGCATAATGGTTCCCATCGACTCGCTATTCGTCCCGACCAGTGCCACCGGAGAGTTTAAAATATAATTTATACTATGACATCGTACATCGAGCCATTTTTTAATTTAACCATCAGATGCAAATCAAAGTACCTAAACATAATGCAATGTTTAATCAATTATTTTGACGTTTTAAGGTAAATTCCGGATCCACAGCGGAATCCCTGCAATACCCTATAGTGGGCCCCAACATCTAAAAACTCTAGTATGACATATGTCATGGATATATTAGTTGATCGGCGCCACTAATCCAGACAAAACCACTCGTTTCGACGACCCATTTAGAAACGATAATTTGCACTGAATCATTTATTGCTCATATTATTACTTGCAATATTAATATTTGATAATATTTTTGATAATTTTTAATCAGTACGCATAAACAATATTCAAGTGTTGGTTTCGCACAATGTAATCATCATTCCGATTAGTTGTACGGGTTCGATTGTTAAACCATTAAGTCTGCCGTCTAATGCGTACATAATAAACACTGTTTTACTCCTGCGGACAACTCGAGTCCGGAACGTTTTTTTTTTTGTTATTTATACGTGTGAATTACAGATGTGAAATAATAGTAATGGCAGTGATAATTAAACGCACTATATAGCTATTATTAAAGTCTTATAACAACGACTTAGGACAGTGGCGTAATTGGGGGGTCGCAAGGGGTCGCACTTGCGACCCCAAGTATAATGTATGGGTTGCAAAAGTATTATTTTGCAACCCCTGGAAATTCCATATTTATGATTTATAGCTCGATAGTAAAAAAATAAAATAAGTAATTATTTAGTATAATTTCCATACATTTAAGCAATAGAATGATAACTTTTATCAAATTATCAACATGTCTACTGTATGAAGTTATATTCGAGATCGACCGATTTCAACGTTATCATTTTTAAAAACACTATTTGGCCTCTCCTGAAAAATTTCAATTATGTGGGTTGCGCCCTTTCAACAAAACAGCGTCGATAATATAAATTAAATAAAAACGAATCTATTTTTAGATTAAAACTTCTATGTCGTCGTATTATTGTTATCGATGTTATTATCGTCCTTCAATATTTAATATATTTTGTATATTTCTTGAGATTTTATAATATTGATTTGTCATTTGTATGTGTCATGTGAACCGTGGTCCGTGAAGCTTTATTATATTATTTCTTAGTGAATTTTGGTTTCATTTTACTTAAATCATTTTCGTGTTTATTTTTAATGGTTATTTGTGAATAGTGAATACCTAGTAAATATATCTAAATATTTTAACATTGGTATTGTGTTTTATTGGTAAATATGAACAAATTCGTTATTAAACTGTCCAAGGTAAGTAACATAACATACTTTTTAAATTATTTTATTTAAACTGAAGTAATTCAATATGCTAAATATTTTTTATGTGTGTGGCTTATTTATATTACATTAATTTCTCTGAACTCATCACTAATACCTACAAGCTGTGGTTTATTTAGTAATATAGTAAATTGCAGACGTACTTGATAAATATTTTAATACTTTAAGAGCAAAAGATAAGTTATGATAATTTTACATAAGTCATGTTTGCTAAATTACTTACCACTAGCCACTAGGAATAGTTATATTTTTAATAATATTTAGGTATTAAATATTATAAATATTATAGTAAATTATGAGGTGGCAACTGGCAAAATATAACAACTTTTAATTTAAGGTTTATTTAAAATAAAACATCTACCTGAATAAATGTAATTTAAATATAATTACTATAATTTCCTAGGGTAGGTACCTATTGTATACTTAAATAATTTTAATTATAGGACAAAAGCAATGAAACTGTAGCTATTCTGAAGTTGGATGATCAGCAAATCACTTCACACAAAAAAATTAAAATGGACACATGTTACGAATCATCTAAAACAGTGAGAATTAAAACTTAAAATAATTAATCATTAATAATTATAATTTATCAATTTTTTAAACATAATCTGCATGGTTATGATTTTATCAGTTATATAACTAACTATTAAAACACACTAGTTCACTATATTTATATAATAAACATAATAATATATAACTATAGTATGTGTATGTGGTGTGTTAAAGAAAGGAAAATTACAGTCAATAAATGCATTAATTTTTTAATTAATTAAATTAATAGAATAGTTAAATTATTTAACATTTTAAACAATTTATCAGATCTTGTATGAATAATTAAATCACAAATATTAATTAATAATAACTTTAATAAACTTATTTGATATTTCATTTTTAGGAAAATAAACTTACTACTGCTTCTAATACAATTTCAAAGAACACAATGTCAATGGAAGGTAAATTAAAGATGAAATAAAATTAAAATATTTGCAATTTGTTTTATGATTTTTTTTCTTTTTTAGATGAATCATTGGATACTTTACATGTAGAAAGTCCCAACAAGTCAACATTAAGTAAACCTATTATTGATACAAATCGTGATCCTTGTCAAGGTAAGGAAAATGCATATTATTTATTATCGAACGGTTTTGGTCCGTATCAACCTAAAAATTATGATTTTCCAAAACGTGGAGGTAGAAAGTTTCGATCAGAATGGTTCATATCTTTTCCTTGGCTAGAATACAGTCCTAGTAAAGATTCAGCATATTGTTTTTATTGTCGTGCCTTCCCATCTAATAAATCAGATATAACATTTATTAGCGAAGGTTTTCGTCAGTGGTCAAAGGCTTGTTTTAAATCTTTTCCAAAGCATGAACAATCAGTACCACATAAAGAATCTATTACAAAAATAGCTGGATATAACGAAGCTAAAAAATCTGGTAGTATAATCAATAAAGTTAATACACAATATAATCAAGAAGTTGCTGAAAATAGGGAATATTTAAAGTGTGTTTTAGAAACCTTGCTTTTCTGTGCCCGACAAGGTATTGCCATAAGAGGACATAGAGAAAATGAAGAGTCTCAAAATAAAGGCAATTTTCAAGAATTATTAAATCTTCGTTCTAGAGATAATGATATTATAAGACGTTATTTTACTGAAAAAGAAAAAAACTTTCGGTATGTGAGTGGTGAATATTTAAATGAGTTTCTTGGATATATGGCTAATATTGTTATCAGAGATATTGTGGATAATGTGTTAATTGCTAATATTTTTAGTATAATTGTTGATGAAACACAAGATTTATCAAGGCACGAACAAGTTGCAATTATTTTAAGATATGTTAATAATGATTTTTCCCCAATTGAAGCTTTTTTAGGATTTTATAAAGTTGAGAGTACTGATGGTTTAACACTTTCTTTATTAATAAAAAATGTTCTTATTTCTAATGGATTACAACTTGAGTGTTTAAGAGGACAATGCTACGATGGAGCAGCATCCATGCGAGGTGCTTACAAAGGAGTCCAGTCAAGAATTAAGGAAGAAAATCCTTTGGCTTTATATGTTCACTGTAATGCACACATACTTAACTTATGTCTTGTTGATCTATCTAAACAAATATCTCATGTAAGAAATGTATTTGGTACTTTAAGTACTTTACATAATTTCATTAATGCTTCATCTAAAAGACAAGCGGTATTTGACAATATGCGTTCAAAGTTAAATATGAAAATGGGTGATGGGCCATCTACTTTGAAAAGTCTTAGCGATACTCGTTGGAGTTGTCGAATAGATGCTTTAGAGTCTCTTATATTTAATTACCAAGTTGTGATTGACTCGTTGGAAAATATTTCAGAAAATGATTCTATACATGGGTCAGATGCAAATTCATTGTTAAAATCAATGAAAACATTTGAATTTTTATTTTGTGTTCATTTTTTCAGAGATATTATGTCCATTACCAATATTTTGTCAAAATATCTACAGAGTTCCAATATTGACTATTCTAGTGTACAGCATATGACCAAAGCAACTATTCAAGAACTCTCTAATATGCGATGTGAAGATAAATTTGATATGATATGGAGTAAAGCTAATGTTATGAGGATAGATAATGAAATATGTTCCCCAATACTAAGTAGAAAATCAAAAGTTCCTAAAAAACTTGGTGGAGGTTTAAAACAAAATGAAAACTGTAATGTTAAAGATCATTATAAAATAAACATATACTTCCAAGTTCTTGATACTATAATAAGTGATATGAAAGAAAGATTTAAAGAAAATGACATACATATTTTAAACTGTATGCAAGATATAATAGTAAATGAACCAATAAAGTTCACTTCATTTCAAGATGTTAGTACAATGTATGGTTTTAATGAAAGTGAACTCAAGGCTGAAACAAAGATATTCAATAGGATGTACAAAAGCCTGAATACTGAAAATACTATCCAATCTAAAATAAAATATATGAGGTCAGGCGATAATGCTATTGGGTTTCCAACATTGGCAAAATTATATAAACTTTTTTTAACTATACCATCAAATTCTGCAGCATGTGAAAGAAGCTTTTCTTGTCTCCGACGATTAAAAAACTACTTAAGAAGTACTATGGGACAATCTAGATTAAATCATTTAGGAATTTTACAAATAGAACGTGAAAGATCGTTAAATATTAATAACGATGAAGTCATAAAACAATTTGACTCATCTACAATACCACGTCGTTTAAAGTTTAATAATTTTTAAAACTAAATTGTTATTCTTAAAATAGTATTGTTTTGTATTATATTTTTTTATAATATAAGTTATGAATTAATTAATATTTATGAGTAATGTTATGATATAAGTTATGAGTGTATTAGTTATTAAGTACCAAAAGTAAAAAAAATAAATATTGTAGTAACCAAGTGGTGTACCTATTAATAATTACTATAAATAGGTACATTAAAAGAACAACTAACAATGATACTGTTGTAGTTTTAAAATTATAAACAGTTGTAATTATTATTATATTATAATTGTAAATGGTTATGTGATTTAAAGTTTAAATAAAAGTAATGTTTGTGGCTATATATATATATTTAATAAAATTAAATTTATAGNATAGTACCCTATTTCCATTTAAGTTGTATCTGATTTATTACTTTAATATACCAAGATACTGTGTGAGGGTCAAAACCAGCACCAAATCCATTTAATTAGGCTATTTTTTTTTTTACTTTACATTGTCATAAGCGTGATACTATTTATTCGACATATTTTTTTATCATTACTGTTAATCAATTTTTTTTTTGAACTGCACGGTTCATTGATTACAAATAAGTATATTTTTGTATATTAATTTAGAATTTAAGTAGAAGAATAATTGCGCAACGAGCCTAAATACATTGCAGCGGAATAGGGGCTAAAAAGTACAATATAATAATAATAATAATAATAATAATAATATGTATATCTGTTGGCGGAACCTACCCCGGAAACGTGGTCTCACACGTATATGAATACTCCTCCTGTTGCACACGGACGTCAAGTCTGCCGAAACGAGTCGCCCGTGGTTCGATGCTTTGCGGGGTAGCTGACGACACTATATGTGCGTTAATGTTAAGCATATAAAGTCGATTGTCGCACCCCGCCGAACGCAATACGTGTACACTTCGTACATACATCGTATACTATTATACTACTACTGTTGTTGTGTAAAGTACCTATCTGATGGCGAAACAAAACCGCCGCGCGGAGACCCGAATTTCCCGTGCCGCGTTCGAGGGGGGGGGGGGTGACGCGGTTTGAGGGTCGAGTCTCCGTGCATGCTGCAGCAGTCTCCGGGGTTGATTTTCCGACTTGTCGCCGGGCTGTCTGAACGAGGTGGAGAGCAACGACCGATAGTAATACTATTACAGTATGACGATAATGTAAATTTATACCGAAATAATGACGTAATATTTTATGCGTGTGTGTGCCCGTGTGCGTTATCGACGTGACAGCTAAAATATTATATTATTATACAATTGCAAAGTGCAAACCCTTTCTATATATACAGTCATCGGCTGCATCGTGTCTGCATCACCGTCAGATCTCGTCGATGCAGGGCTCCTAGCGGCGACAGTATGACTAATAACTAACGAGTAACAGTTAGATCCTAACGTCAATCAGAGCCTCCAAAAGTTGGTATTGCTTATGACAAAATCATATATATATATATATAAATTATAATTATTAAAGGTTGAGGAATTTTTTTTGTAGCATCTACTTATGGGTGGGTTAAGTTTTAAAAATAATCATATGTCATACTGCCATATACGCGTTTCAAAATACATCGGAACGTCTGACGTCAATTAAATCCCCTTGAATAAAACTTCATGCACGGCCTACTTAATATGTGTATAATAATTAATAATAAAAGGCACAATGCAGCGACCATATATATGTATATGTTTCGTTTGGTCATCGAATATTTAATTTTCCCATTTTACCACAACTTGCATTTTTTTTCGAAACCAAAAATATTGTTAACGTCTTAATGGTGTTCTATTATTTTGAAGGCCAAGTATAAAACATCTATGGAATTTATTATTTTAGTTATTCTAAATCGTGGTTGGTAGTAATTTATGAAGCAAGGAGTCAAGCCCCCACATAACATGTTGGTTACACTTACTAAATGTTTTTGAAAACCCCATAAAATATTATTTTATACAAAATAAGTATACCTATCAATTTCAAACATTACAAATTCATTTCTGCTGGACCCTAAATAGTCGAGCCCCGTGTACTCTAGGTTCAACAGCCCCCCTCCAAATTATAGTGTGCCTGCAGTGAAGGAAGCGATGAAGTTTCAGTTTAATATTTGGTAGCAGACTACTTAAAGCATAATGGTTCCCATCGACTCGCTATTCGTCCCGACCAGTGCCACCGGAGAGTTTAAAATATAATTTATACTATGACATCGTACATCGAGCCATTTTTTAATTTAACCATCAGATGCAAATCAAAGTACCTAAACATAATGCAATGTTTAATCAATTATTTTGACGTTTTAAGGTAAATTCCGGATCCACAGCGGAATCCCTGCAATACCCTATAGTGGGCCCCAACATCTAAAAACTCTAGTATGACATATGTCATGGATATATTAGTTGATCGGCGCCACTAATCCAGACAAAACCACTCGTTTCGACGACCCATTTAGAAACGATAATTTGCACTGAATCATTTATTGCTCATATTATTACTTGCAATATTAATATTTGATAATATTTTTGATAATTTTTAATCAGTACGCATAAACAATATTCAAGTGTTGGTTTCGCACAATGTAATCATCATTCCGATTAGTTGTACGGGTTCGATTGTTAAACCATTAAGTCTGCCGTCTAATGCGTACATAATAAACACTGTTTTACTCCTGCGGACAACTCGAGTCCGGAACGTTTTTTTTTTTGTTATTTATACGTGTGAATTACAGATGTGAAATAATAGTAATGGCAGTGATAATTAAACGCACTATATAGCTATTATTAAAGTCTTATAACAACGACTTAGGTCTTAGGAGGTAGGCGATGTTTGTGGTAAACGTACAACAACTATTAATATTGAACAGTAAACACAATTTTAAGTTGTGAAATGTGTTTATAAATACCTTAGATTTTTTACTTGTCTATTACATCAGTTGTTCGTTAAAAATTATAAAAAAAAAACGTATAATAATATATTCAGGAAACTCGTGAGGAACAAAAATATCCGTAATACCATTTGGCCAATAAAAACTAATGTATAGATTCTTAAAATAATATAATATACAGGTATCTAATATAATGTATTATTATATTAGTTATGGTCAATTTTGAGGTCTCAATGTGCGCTACTGACTAGTAACCACCTATACAATAAGCCTGCCCATATGAAATCGGCCAATGAGGCCCAATAATCGACCACTCTTAAATATTCATATTTTAAACTCAATTTTACCTTCTGTCGTTAAAAAATTACTCCATTATTTCAATATTATTTTGTATAATATCCCGCCAGTATTAGAGTTATTGTTGTGCGTTTTATAATGCACAAAAAAGGCTTGTTACGTGAATTTATAATAAAATATTGATAATAGGTACATCATCGATATTCCATGACCGCGACACAGTGAACTATTCAACTATATACCCACTCTGAAAAACCACACCGTTTTTTAATAACGCGCACACGCGCACCGCATAACACTTCGGACTTAACTATAAATTATTATAATCGATATCGTCGTAATAACATTACGTCTGGCTTAGGTCTTTAAATCCAAATATCTCACCGCAAGCTGGTGGTTTCCGATTATACTACATTTTTGTTGTACACTGTACACACGCACTCACCACGCACGCGCACACACACACTCTGACACTCAGACTTATTTTCGGTTAACCGAAAAATGTTTAGTTTACGTCGGATTCGTAATGTTTTATCAAAATGCACAGACTGACAATATTATCAACAATAATAATTATTATGCCATTTACGCGGAGCTTAATATGAATTAAGTTAAATTTCGCTATACACCGAGATGCAGTTAAGGTTTTCCATATTATCTGTACACAAATACTTATATATTATGTACACTTTGTGTATACTTGCAACATTTGATAATCATATCCGAGTAGATACATGGGCCCCAAACCAGATGGGTAACGACTATAAATTCGAAGCTAAATCTTATTTTTCCTGAGCCGCGAGTGTGTATATTGAACATAATAGTCAACGACCATTCGTATCTAAATACTAAACGTATCGATTTATTAATTTAAGTTTTGAATGGACCAGGCCCAATCACGTAAATCGAATGGAAACTATAACAATCGTTCGTAAATGATATTCAGAAAAACGATGAAATATACAAAATATATTCAAATGATTTAAAATACTCATTGTTAAATGAATTAACGAGTATGAAATTACAATATATTAATTTAAATAATAAGTGTCGTAGTTTGGTGGCTACGAACAAATCGATTTCTAGTTCGTTTATCGTTTTCATAATGTATTCTGTTGTTGGGTGTATTGCTTGCACAATTTATTATTATATTATCAAACGTATTAATTATAATATTTATCGACATAATATGGTAGATCTGTGGACTAAGATAATTCACGGGCAGACTTAACAAGTGCTTGTTAATAATACGAGTTAAAACTGTACAGCAACATTTTTGGTGTTTTTTACCTTTTTTTTTTTACGGACCGCCATCGATGTGACGACAATATTATTTGGTTTGCGTTAAACGAAAGAATATACGAAGGACAATGGCGATAAAACCGGTAACATTGAAATTATGCCAAAGCGAATCATTCTAGGACATATTGTTTCCCGTCTAATAAATACCCAAATTATCAACCGGTTTCGTGCGCCCGATAATATAATTAGACAATATATTATTATAAGTTATAACCATTATAGGATGAAGTAACGTCGCACAGCAGTCCAATATAATATTTATGGCGAAAAAAAAATACACATTACAAATTGTAATACCTATTGTGTTGACGCGGAAATAAAAAAAAAAAACGTAACTCCATATTATTTGGTACATGCCATAAAACCAGTGCTTGAGTTTGTTTCATCTGCCCCGCCTTTACACATACATACTCATAATACATAATATTATACAGGATAATTCACCGGGCAAGCTCTCCTCCAGTTTTTTCTTCCAGTTTTTATTCTTTAATGATGAATTTATTTAAATTACATTTTTGCCATTGTTAAGTGTATACTCACTTAAAAACCTTATTTTCAAATACTTACATAGTTTATGCCGTTCAGGAAGATAGTCACATGAATAGTCCTGTGGTGATACAAATTTATTTTTTGAAATGAGAACTTTTTTGTCAGAAAATGTTAAGCCAATTCTTATTTTTTTAAATGTTCCACACTATCATAATAAGTTTAAACATAAAGGGCCGAAATGATTTGAAAATTATAGTAATTAATATTAAATATATTAAATATGAACACCAACATGTCAACGAATATTTTATAAAATAGGTGCATCAGTAAAATTT